TGTCATATTTCACCAATTAATTTTGCAAGCATGATGACATTTAATTCCTGTAATATCTTTTCAAACTGTTTTTCATGATCTCGGACCCTTAAAAATGATAACAGTGGTTGATGTTGAAAATAAGGCTTAAATATTTGATTTTATGGCATAAAAGTGTAAACAAAATTGAAAATCAGAATCTCAGAGCTGGTCAGCCTGCATTTTTTTTAATGCTCAATTGTCCTTTTTAATACATTTTATAACCTCATAATTTTGCTTAAAGCCACATGGAAGGGAAAGTGAAGACAAGTGTCCAGTAACTTCTTAGATCTGAGCCTAGGACAACATAAGGGGGGGGGGGAACATTCTGGTGTAAAGTACATGAATGCATGGAAAGTAATTCCTCCTTTTCTTCATCAAGAAATTATGACCTCCTAGAGAAAAGTGTGGGAAAAACTCTTGAAGATGTCAGCCAGGGGAAAAGTTCTATGAAGAAGACTTCTGCAGCAATTGCAACAACAAAAATTAATAAATTAGACTTCATTAAACTGAAAAGTATCTGCACAACTACGGATGCAGCACTCAAAGCAAACAGACATCCTATAGAATGGGAAAAGATATTTGCATGTTATGAACCTGACAAAGCCTTGATAACTAGGATCTACAGAGAATTCAAACTAATCCTCAAAAAAAGACCAAACAATCCCACATATCACTGGGCAAGAGAAATGAATAGAACCTTCTCTAAGGAAAGAGACAAATGGGCTAACAAACATGAAAAAATGATCAGGCCGGGTGAGGTGGCTAGTGCCTGTAATCCTAGCACTCTGGGAGGCTGAGGCAGATGGACTACTTGAGCACACAGGTTGACACTAGCCTGAGCAAGAGTGAGACTACTGTCTCTACTAAAAACAAACAAAAAAACAAACATAAAAAAAATCCCAGAAAGAGTGAGGCAAGACAATTGCTTGAGCCCAAGTGGTTCCTGTTAGCTATGACACCACTGCATTCTATCTAGGGCAACAGCTTGAGACTTTGTCTCAAAAAAAAAAAAAATGGAATAATGTTCAATGTCTCTAATCATCAGAGAATTTCAAATAAAAACCACCCTGAGATATCACCTAAACCCACTGAGAAGAGCCCACGTCACAAAGTCTTAAAGCTGCAGATAGTGGCATGGATGTGGAGAGAATGGAACACTTTTACACTGTTGGTGGGACTACAAACTAATACACCCTCTATGGAAGGAAATAAGGAGAATCCTCAAAGACCTAAAATTAGACCACCTACTTGATCCTGCTATCCTATCACTAGGTATCTAACCAGAAGAACAAAAATCATTTTATCACAAAGACATTTGCACTAGAATGTTTGTGTTGGCTCAATTCATAATTGCCAAGTCATAGAAGGTACCTAAGTGCTCATTAACCCATGAATGGGTCAACAAACTGTAGTATATGTATACCATAAAATATTATTCAGCCATTGCAAAAATGGAGACTGGCCAAGTTAGGTGGCTCACGCCTGTAATCCTAGCACTCTGGGAGGCCAAAGCGAGTGGATTGCTTGAGCCCAACTAGGCAAGACCAAACTGAGCCTGAGCAAGTCCTTGTCTCTAAAAAATAGGTGGGCACTGTGGGGAGCACCTATAGTCCCAGCTACTTGGGAGTCTGAGGCAAAAGAATTGCCTAAGCACAGGAGTTTGAGGTTGCTGTGAGCTGTGATGCCACGGCCCTTATCCAGGGCGACAAAGTGAAACTATTGTTATTTTTTTTCTTTTGAAAAAAGATGTAAGGGGACATTACATCTTTTACCATTTAACTGGATGGAGTTGAAATACATTCTTCTTAGTAAAGTATCACAAGAATGGAAAAATGAATATGCAATGTACTCCATACTAATATGAAATGAATATATAAACAATTACATGCTCATAACAAAACACTAATATAGTCCAGTTCTGGCATAGAGGGAAATGGGAGGGGGAGGGGGAGGACATTTGGCAGAAGGAGGGAGAGCATGAGGCGGGATCTCACCTAATATGCACATTCTGAGGGTGTATAACATGCCCCCTGGGTAAGGGGCTCTTCTACAAATGGAAATTTACCCTTTTTACCCTCGAAATGAGAACAACGTAACCTAAAAATTGTACCGTCATGTTAATTTGAAAAATAAAAGAAATACTCAAAAAAAAAAAATAAAGGAATTCTGGATTTGAAAATCAATTGATGAGATGGAAAATGTAATACAGAATGTCAATAGCAGAATTAGTCAATCATAAGAAAGAATCTGTGAACTTGAAGATAGATTATTTAAAAATACATATATAGTCAAATGAGAAAAAAATGAATAAAATGGAAGAAAGCTCATGAGATTTATCAGATAGCATAAAATGAGAAAAATTCATGACAACATGGATGAAACTGGAGAACATTATTTTAAGGAAAATAAGTCAGGAACAGAAAAATAAATACTGTGCAATCTTACTTATATTCAAAATCTTAAAATGTTGAACTCTTTCAAGCACACATTGCAATAGTAGTTACCAGTGGCTGGGGATGAAGTGTGATTGGGAAGATTTTGGTCAAAGGACATGAAATATCAGATAGGGGCAATAAGTTCAAAAGATATATCAATGACTGAATATAGTTCATAACAGTGTACTGCATTTTGAAAACTGGTAAGTGTTCTCACTACAAAACCAAACTACGTGAGGTAATGCATATTTTAATTAGCTCCTTTTATCCATTCCACAAGGTATATGTATTTCAAAACAGCATGTTGTAAATGAGAAATATTTACAATTTTCATTTGTCAATAAAATAAAATAAATCAACTGCATGTCTGTATACCAGTCCACAGCAATCACAAATAAAATTAAAACATTACCATGTACAATAGCATCAATTAGTGTGAAATATCCAGAGAAAATCAGCAAAATATTAGCAAGACTGGTACATAAAAACTATACATATTGCTGAGGAAAGTGAAAAAATATCTACAGAAATGAAGGGATATAATATTTTCTTTTACTGAAACACTACAGTAGTGTCAAGATACCAATCTTTTTAAAATTAATCCACAGAGTAACCATTAATAAAAGTGACAGGAGGTCTTTTTATGTAAACATTTTCAAAATTATTCTAAGATTAATATGAAAGTACAAAAGACCTATAATAGCCAAAAGACTTTTGGGAAAAAATATTTTTAAAGCCATGTTTAAAGATCTTTACTGCCCAATTTCAAGTACTCCTACAGAACTCTAATATTCAAGAGAGTATATTACTGGCATGAAGAAAGAATTAAATATAATAGAAAATCCACAAATATTACTGATTAATGTTTGAAAAAACAATAAAGCTATTATTTTGATAAGTACAATAACAACTGAACAACAAAATGTATAAAATATATCAAAACAATATTTCAAGTCTTGCTGTACGGAATGATTTCGTAGAATACATAAAATAAAAATTGTATTTCATCAAATATAGAAACTTCTCTTATTAATAGTTATAAAATGAAGACAAGTCATAGAACTAGAGAAAACATTCACCATTTAAAAACCTGAAAAATGCACTTGTGTCCAAAATATATAAATATTCTACTTAATACTAAAAAGACATCTCTATGGACAGTTGTCAGTAGTAAATACTTCACTAAAAGATAATCAATTGGCTCACAAATAAGTCACAGCATCATTATTCTTCAGAGAAATGCAAATAAGATCCACAATCAGACACTAATTCACACCTTCTATAACCACTACAATTGAGAAGTGTTACAAAACCAAAAGCTAGTGAGGATGTAGAGCAACTGGTACTTCATACACTGATGCTAAGGCTGCAAAATATTACAGGGACTTTGGACAACATTTTTGCAGTTTCTTAAAAAGTTAAACATATCTCAACATATCATCTAGCCCTTCTACTCCTAGGTATCTACTTAAGAGAAATGAATGTTTTTGTTCATATGGAGACTTCTAAAACAAAGTTCATGACAGCTTTATTCAAAACAATCAAAATACGTAAAGAATTAAAATGTCCATCATCTGGTAAATGGTTAAACAATATGCTGAATAGCCATACAACTTATGTTCTGTTTCAACAAAGAAAAAGAACTGATTTTCCTATAAACATGAAAGCATGGGCAGACCTCAGAATCATTACACCAAGTGCAGGAAGCCAGACAATCTAGATTACATATATATAAATCATAAGCACAAATTCCTCTATATAAATTACCACGTATATTTTTGTCTATAGATACAAAATGCAGTACTGTAAATATTTCAAAACAACAATTAGTACTATGCCATCATGAGGTAATTTCTTTGATTTTTATTAATATCACTATGGTATGTGTAAAACTCCCAAAAATGCAAATCAAGATCCTTTTGCAGAAATAACCATGATTAGCCATCAAATGTGTATATTGCCAAATGCAAAGATACATATATAATCTATACGGTATTTACAGAAATAATATATTACTCCC